CCACTTAATTGATGAATATAATTATTTCGAAAAGGATCAAGTAAAAACAATGAACTCATTGTTTCAACAATTGATTTTAAATGTGATGTTCTTACACCACGTATACGTGCTAATAGATAAAGACTATCTTCAACAGTTAGAAAATTCATACTACAATTTTGTTGTGGACAATAACCTAAATGACGTGTAGATCTTATACGACGACGAACATTTTGTCCATCTATATAAGCTGTGCCGTGTGTTGATATTATATCACTAACTATAGTACGAAATGTTGTTGTTTTACCAGCACCCTGTTTTAAAATAAAATTAGGAAAAAAAAAGAAATATATTATTATTGTTGTGTATTTACATTATAACCAAGTAAACCAAATGCTTCTCCACGTCGTGCACTAAATGTTAAATGATCAACAGCTAAAACTTTTCTTCTTGAATAATATTTAACAAGATTTTTAACTGTTAAATGATCAACATTTTCTTCATCTGCAAATGTATGTGTTTGTATTCCTAAAACTCGATGACGTTCAGCTAAAACATCATCATCAAGAGTATTTTCATTAAAATTTGATTTATAGAAACATGAAAATGAAAATTGTAATAGACCACTATCAATAATAATTAATAAGAATAAGAATATAACTATATGTAAAACAAGAATAACTATATTCCAACCAATTGTATCATCACCAATAGGTTTAAAAAGTGATGTGTCATCACGATCGTCGTCTGTAAATTCTGCAATCGCTGCTTTACAAAATTGACTTTTACGTGCTAAGATATAAGTTATTATAGCTTGTGAATTGATAGTTGGACATATGATATTAAATAACCAATATAAAAGTTTTTGAACAGATGTACTGTTAATAAGTAGTGTTACAACTGGTAAAATAATACTTATAAAATGAAGAATTATTAAGATAAAACATATGGTTATACCACCCTAAAACATAGATTAAATCAGTAAAGAATAATGATAATAGCTGTGAGAAAAAATAAATGAAAATATCCTCCGTGAATATATCATTGAAGTTATATCTCATGATCATCAAGGTGATTTCTTAGAAAAAGTGAATGATCGAGATGTGGGTGAATATTCTCTCGTGAATTATAATTGTAATGTATTTAATAAAAGTACATACGAGAATATCACTTTTGAAAAGTTTTGTTAATAAATAAGCAAATGGTAATGTTGGTAATGCTATTAAAATTGATAATGGATAAAATTGTATACGTAAATCCCATGAACTAAGAAATTTAGTTAAATTTTCTAATGAAGATTTCGTTTTTGATTGACTATTAAAAGCAACATCAAATATACAATAAATTCCAAGCAAATAACCAAACCATATAACGGATATTATTATATCAAATAGATAAGTAAATAACCAATATGATGCTGGACTAGAAATACAAAATGTTATCAAATAATTAAGTTTTATTTCAATACTTACTGTAAACCACTAATATTCAGTAATGATAAAAAGCTATCTTTTCGCTCACTGATTAAAAATACAGTTATGTAAAAGAATAAAATATAGAATACAAATCTAAATAGAATTTTTTTCAATAAAAATTTGTTTTTTTAAATTTACATACAAATCAAGTAAAAGTGTTATTGGTAATATTTTTTTAAAACATGATACCATACTTAATATATCCATTAGTTGACCAATCGATGGTTCTTCAGTAACATTTCTTGTATTTTTTTTATAAACAAGTGTTGTTTGAATCGATGCATTTGAATCATTCAATGCATGTTTATAGAATGTATTTGATGCAACAGACAGAACCTCATAACCTGATATTAAATTTGATGATAATGCTTGAATCTTATATGTATCTCCACTTGGTGGAGGAATATTAAAACCAAGATAAATATCTGTATATGTATATGGAAGATCCATTCGTTTTTCTACAAATAAAGAAAATAATTATTATTTGAATAATATTAAAACTTACTCCAAATATTTTCATTCATTTTATATATATTTCCTGGTCCTTGTTCAAGTTTTGCGCCATTAACAGATGCAAGAAAATATTTCTTTATACTTGAATGTGTATGATATAAAATTGTTTGTGGATTAAGAGAATTGAAATTCATTTTAAAAATTCCAGTATCATTTTGACTTTGAGATATTAAATTTGATAAAAGATTATATAAAATTGGTAATAACAAAATAATAAGTGTTAATGCCCATCGACGATAATGAACAAGTACAGTTTTTACTAATAACCCATAATATTGACTTAGATAATAACGAGGACCAGAAAGAGAATCTTGATGATCAAATACACGACGACATTGTTTTTCTACAACAAATAAAATTAATTTCTTGTGGGTGGGTGTGAGTGTGAGTGGGTGCGGATGTGAGCCTTCTCTCTCTTCTAATCTACACTCCACGCTCTCTCATACCCACCTATCCACACACCTACGCCCACGACCAGGTGAGTTTTATAATAAAATCGTTAACTTACCGATTGTATTAGTATCAAGGGATGTTGAGTTTGAATCGTTTTTAACTTCTGTATCTCTTGTAATTTTTAAGAATACATCATCCATAGTACTATTTTGTACTCCATAATTTTTAATTTGATTATTTATTTTCATTGATTCAAGATGACGTAATGCTTGAATAAATAGAGCATTTGGTTGTTGATTTGCACGAAAAACGACGTCACCATCAGGGATATCTATTTCAATTTTTAATTCTGGTAAATAATTACGTAATTCATTTTCAATAGTATTTGTACGACAACTACTTTGTTTATTAACAA